CCGATCGTCACTGCGATTAACTATACTTCCCTTGTGAGAAGAATGTGTTCCAATCTGGAGGACAACGTGAGTGGTAATATGCAAGATTTTGCCTCCAATACGAGACTAGACAGATAATAAAAGGACGAAGAAAAGGCAAGAATTAGCGCGAGACATGGCTTGGATAGTTTGGATGTCGGGCTTCACCGGATAGAGGAACGAATTCCCCAATTAGGCAGTGCCTCCGCGCGCTGCTGGTCCTTTCGTCCCACTGTTGTGCATCGTGTTGGGAGTCGCCATAGTCCGAGCGGGCGGTGCCTGGTTGAGATGTTCGTCCTCTACCCAGAATTCTTCGGGTAGCAAACGATCTGAAGATAGCTGGGTTTCAAATAACAACAAATGAGCAGCTTGGGCCCATTGGGCGAATTATTGACATTAACAGCACAGGAACGGATTATTGGTTGAGTTATTGGTTCAGACCATTTGCAGACCAATGGCGACAATACCTAGCAAACAACGCTTTAATGGGAAATTCAGCGGGTAAGACTACTACTATCTCTTATCAATCATCCCAATTTGATTATAATGCATTATGAAGGAGAATGATCGAATCATCCACTCGGGAAGCAAGAAATTCGCCATCTTGCAAAGAGATTTGTAAGTCGATCCGGAAAAGGCTCAGAAACTAGTTACATCACTATTAGTAGGTCTTTACTCAGCTTTTAACTCATCAAATTAATAAACATCGTATTTGAGGTTCTCCACAACCTTCTCGCACGAAGGGAAGATCTCTTGGAGGGGGTAGAACGAACCCAGCAAGGAATTCGCCTCCGCCAGATCGCTTTGCCTCACTACAACGAACTGCTCGGCACACTGGTTCAGATTCGGCAAAAATAGCAAGAGGTCGCCTTGTATAGTATTATGATAATTTGTATGGAATTCCACAATAAACATAAAATACCTTTAGCTAGGAACTATGCAATGGTACAGGATCGATTACAAATAAAGCAAATTTCTGGCTTGTAAATCTCTAGTATAAAATGTACATATATACATGATTAAGTGTAAGAAGATTATAAAACATATGTACCATCTTCTAATCGGTCAATATACTGCTCCAGTAAATTATTGGTCATCAAACTCATTTTCGCCATGACAACGTTGTCTGGCAGGCCCTTCAAATAAGTGGTCACGAACTGGCCTTTAATATAAGAAAAATCGAAGCATGTCAACAACATAGACATATTACCGTACTGCTGGAATTTGCAGAGCGACTTCTCGACTTCCAGGGCTGACGTGCGAGTTTTGACGGCCTCCGCGGCTTCTTGCAGGAAGTTCCGAGCTGCTATAGTTGAATATTTGACGACAATTTATATAAATTTAGAATGTAAGTCAGTACTGACCTTGCGAGGACGTCCTCTTCTTCTTCATGGACGGGGTCCGCAGCAGCTTTCGAGATGGAGAGCGCATGGAGAGCGTGCCTCCATCAGCGACTCCTCACTGGTTGTTGGCGAGACACTGCTCTCCGCTTCCATCTCCACGTCGTCCACGTCGCTCACGTCGTTTTCCTTCTCCTGGGAAGTTGGGTATGCGGACGTGGACGATGTGCCGGTGCTTGTCAGATTGGAAGTCCGCGTACTGTGACACACGAACAATAAAAAATAAAATTAAAAAGATCGTCG